ATTAAATTTGAAATAACATTTGAAATGACTGAAATGTATTTTTCTGAAATGTTTGTGTTTGTAAAATTTAAAGCTGCTTTCCGGAGTTTTCCCCTTTCAGAAATGATGTTTGATTTTTCAGAAATCGGTAAAAGCGATTGTCTCATCATGTACTGTGATAAAATGTAAGCGACACGTCTTTTTAATTTTTTTTGTTAAGCATGCCCCCTGCCCCGCAGAGCTCCATTCAGTAGGAAACTGAGCACCGACCAGAACTAACCAATAACATTAGACTGCCGCTTACTTGCTTCAAATTTAAGGAATACCTCGGTTGATGCAACGTTGAGGAATTTTTCACGGACAAGTAAGTCTTTAAAACATAGATATATGAAAACACAACATGACATGAGAATAATACTCGTAAAACAGCGTGTTTTAGCTCCGTTTGTCGGCTACAGAAGCACATTTATGAACAGAAACGTGAAGTCGCCATCTTAAACAAACAGAGGAACAGCCTTTTTGTGTGATATGCTTGTCAGCCACTAGATGGTGCCATCAGATAAGAGAAATACTCTGGAAAGAAGCTTTAAGTGAAATGTTTTGGAGACATACTGTTTTTGCTGTTGTTGTTTTTTAACAAATAAAGGAGCAATGCAATACATCACCACAGGCTAATCTCTCCCAGAGTTACCACAAGGACCAATTTAGTGTGCCACCCCAAAAATTTCTTTGGCCCCGTCTGGCCACCCCATCAAAATTTTCTGGAGGCTCCCCTGGTTTTACAATCAAAATAAATTTAGGATACACCAAGCCATGTCTGCATTGAATTTGTTTTCTGTACTACATATTGAGGAGAAAATTATGGCCGCCACAAGCCTTTTTTAGCAGCACGCCAATGTGGCGTAACATTATCAATATGCAAATTGGCATGTGTCATCATCAGGTGACATCTAAGAACTTTGTGGGCCATATTTAACTACTTTCTGTTGGAGACAATCCTGCCCTTCCAGCTGACCAGCGCACTCAACACTTAACACAAGAATGTTTGATAAAATTAATTTTTGAGCTATTACCGTAATCAGGCGCATCCTTCAGATTGTCGAAAGGGAAGATTGGGTCAAACATCTACATGAACATCTTGCCATGTGAATTGTGCCTGAAGCAAAACTGACTGAGGTGTAATGGTTTAAAAGGGTTTTCATGAACCGCTATAAAATTGTTAAAATCAGAATTATTATTTTTTTCACCTAAACGACAACATCTGTTTAACCTTTACACTGTGGGCAACAGAGATACTCCTGCAGATATATGGGGATATTCTTGCTGGAAGTCTCCCAAAATGGTATCCTAAATAGTGTTCATGTGGGATTTTGGAGAGATTGATAGGCAGATTGGTGCTGCATCTGCAGTAATGCGGGTGTTGTACCGATCTGTTTGTGAAGAGAGAACTGAACCGGAAGGCGAAGCTCTCGATTTACCGGTCGATCTACGTTCCAACCCTCACCTATGGTCATGAGCTTTGGGTAGTGACGGAAAGAACAAGTTTGTGGATACAAGCGGCCAAAATTAGTTTCCTTCACAGGGTGGCTGTGCTGTCCCTTAGAGATAGGGTGAGTAGCTTGGTCATCCGGGAGGGGCTCAGAGTAAACTTGCTGCTCCACCACATTGAGAGGAGCCATTTAAGGTAGCTTGGGCATCTGCTTGGGATGCCTCCTGGACGCCTCCCTGGTGAGGTTTTCTGGGCACATCCAACTGTGAGGAGACCCAAGGGAAGACCCAGGACACGCTGGAGGGACTGTGTTTCTTGGCTGGCAAGAGAACGCCTTGGAATTCCTTTGGAGGAGCTGCCTCAAGTAGCTGGGGAGAGGGAAGTCTGGGCCTCTCTGTTTAGGCTGCTGCCCCCACGACCCGACCCCGGATAAGAGAAAGAGGATGGATGGATGGTGAAACTTTGGAGACTAGAGTTGTTTTAAAATGGCGGCAAAATTCTTTGTTCCTGGCAACGTTCAGTTTAATCGTTAGCAGCCAATGGCTAATCTGCAGCTAACGGTTAGCTTATCTGTCCTATCAGCTAAGCTTCCTACAGATACTTCAGACTATATGAACCCTCACTTTAAGAATGTCTACATTAATCATCGTTACAGCATTTTGTGAAAAAATATTTTTCATAAAGATCCACCAAATTTTGTGGATTTCAACAAACCTCTTAGCTAATATCCTAGCTTACTACTCAGCTAAACTAAAAAAGGAAACACAATAAAGACTGGGTCCGCTGCATTACTGTTTTTTACTTTTGCATTTTTACTTGATATGTACTGTGCATGAATTTAACTATTTACACACGTGGGTTCATTTATTGTTCCAATGCTGCGGAAAGACATTCTCTAATTTCCGTTTACACCCAGATCAGTGTCAGTGGGATGGATTTTGCTTGTTGTATTCTCCTGAGAGCAGCGGTGGGTGAGGTGAAGTGGCAGGCAGGAGAGATCAGATGGCTCCATCCTCCATGTGGATCCCTGAGCCCTATGCGTCCCTCTGCAGCAGCTGCTTCTCTGCTCTCCATTTTGCAGCCTCCCGTCCTGTAACTCCCACTCAGTTCCCAAGTGGATGCCTGCATTCACATACAATCTGGCTGTGGTGGAACATTTCCTCCAACTGTTGGAGTTCGGCAAAAACAAGAGATGCTAGTGTTTAATTTGATTCTTTATTCATGAATTTAAAGTGATAATTATTAAATGTTAAACTGTCCTTTTAAAGATGGACCGCACACCATCAGAAAACGTAACTCCACCCATAGTCAAGATTTGAAAAATGCCATGAAGGTGGGCGTTGCCAGGAGGCACGGAGTGGCATGGCCAAGTGCGGGGAATTTCCTTCCCGGGAGGGAGTGGGAGTGGGAGGAGCTGTACCGATGACGTGAAATTGTACCAGCCCCAGCCAATCACAAATTTCATATGCAGTAGCCACAGTTCAACCCACAGGGGGCAGCACTAAGACATTTTTAGACCTAGAATCTAGATGTAATCAAGTTTACACAAACACGTCAAAAATGCACAGAAAGAGAAAGATTGCATTTGAAGAGACCCAATTATACAGTGTATATGAAAAAAAAGTTATTTAGGGATTTAGTTGCTCTTTAAGTCCTGCCTCTTGTCTCCATGTGTTATGAGATTTAGGTATATTAGTGCAGTTGATTATAAAACTGGAACATTAAATCAACCTATGTATTATAAAAAAAAAGATTAGTCACACAGGTGCTCACATGGCGCTCTCATAAGTATGGACTTGGGCACGTTCAACACATGTTGGCTGTGGTTGGGACTTAATGTACTGAGATTTATTATCGTGTTTGTTCAGTAAAACAATGTTGATTTTATATTTCCTCATCAGGTTGACGCGGTGATAGTTTGCTCCTGTTGTATTGTTGTGTGTCCCTTTTCTTGTTTTTTTCTCTCTCCTTCTGCAGGTCTAGAAGCAGACTGTTGTTCATCATTGATTGTTTGTTTTTGTGGACCCCCCCACCCCCACCCTCCTCCTTTTGACTCTTCCTTTCTCTTTCACCTCTGTCTCCGTGTCTGGTCGGAATTACAAAGCATTCAAAAACAACAACAATAAAGTTTTAAGTATCAGGCGTGACATTAAAAGCAGACGCTTTGATGCTCCACCTGAGAGTAAATCTGTAAGGCTTGTTACCAGCATTCAGACATCAGTTCTGTTTGCTTCACAGCCAGACAGGACACGGCAAATAAATAAATAAATAAATAAATAAATAAAAGGTTAGTCAAATCTTAGCATGCTAACTGATGTGTGTTTTCTGTAAAAGTCATAAATATTTACTCTTATTACTCAGAACTCTTATTCCTCTTATTACCAAACAGTGTTAGTTGGGAGACATTGTGTTTATTGACTAATAAGCTACTGTTTAGGTAGTTTTTCAGTAATTTTTCTGTGGTCTCTATTATGAATGAGTGGCTTGTGAGTCGTTTTGTGAGGAAATAAATGTGCACGCTCTTCTGTTCCTGGGGTTTTTTAGTTTGTTGGAGGAGTGGGGGGCAAAAAAACGACAGGATTACGAGTTTTTCTCATGATTATTTACGACATGAAAATGTTGCACCTCTGATATGCTAACAGCAAAGTGAGACTGTCGCTGCCTTCGTTTGCTCCTCTTTCTTGGGTGAAAAGTGCAACGTTGATGTTTTGTCTCCACAAGTAACACAAGCCTGATCATGTACTCGCCATGTGGTGGGGATGCTAAATGTTAGTTTCTACTTGTCGAGACACAACCTGCTCTCTCCTGGCCGAAAAACTCAGTCTTTTGCATTCATGAGTCAAGATGGGCGAGGCCACAAATGCCCACCTTCCCTGTTCAGTGGAAGAGACTTGCTCTTTTCTTATGTGCTCATTTTCCCATCCACTTCCTTTCTGCTGCTAACGCAGGCGATGGAGGCTGTTGAAATGCTCTAACGCAGCATGCATGGGCAGTTCTGAGTAACAGATCATATTGTAGCCCTTTGCCATTGATGTTCCCCGTCCGTTAGTGGTCAGGTGTTGGCTCTATGTGTTTGGCTTCATGAGGAAGATTCAGGGACTTGAATGTGGTCAGAATGTTGGAAGCAAAAGGAAAACACGGTTGGCTCAGGTGAGCTGAAAAAGGCTGATGAGAGAACAGGATGTACAGCGTGAACGTCTCAGGAGCTAAAAAAACAAAACAAAACAAACAAACCAGCAGATCACGACACCAACTGAAGCTGTACTTCTATTATTGTTCTACTCTACCTTCTTCTATTTAACGGTACTTGTAGAAAGTATTTTTGTTTTACTGGTTTCATGTTTTCTTTTGGAGGAAATGGTGGAAAAATAATCAGAAAATGAAGATAAATCAGGAATGGGTTGGGCTGACTCTAATTTAAATCATAGCTCACAAGTAAAAGATAATGATGGTGGAGACTTCTGCTGACCCCACAAACAAAATCCTTGTGAAAACAACAATGAGAGCCGTGTCTTTTGTCTCGTCGTTTCAGGTATCCAAAGCTGCTGCAGACCTGATGGCGTACTGTGACGCCCACATACGCGAGGACCCGCTCATCGTGCCCGTCCCCGCCTCTGAGAACCCTTTCCGGGAGAAGAAGTTCTTCTGCGCCATCCTCTGATGAGGCGCTGCTGGAGCTTAATGGGTGCAGATATGGCGTTGCCTGGCTTCTCTGTCTTCACCACACCTGAAGCTACTGGCCACAGGCGTCGAGTTGGGATTTGCCTGGTGGACACTGTTGTTGGTCAGCTCTGTCCTAGTGGCTGAAGGGTTTGGGGGAGTCAGCTACCAAACTGGCAACCCAGTGAGCGTATCATGTCTTGTTAATTAAATAGGTTTGTTATTGCTTTGTTATTAGAGAACAGCCTTGCTCAGTGCTTAATGAGATGAGAGATTTTTTCTTTTTACTGTGCTAGATCTGAACTTACCTCAGGAAACAGGAATTTTCCCGGTGTCTTTCCCCCTTTGCCCGTTTGTAGCAACACCCGATACTAGGCCTCTCATTCTGATTAAATGTTCCTGCGGAGTCCCCGCCGCTTGTTTTAGCGTTTCAGTGCAGCCCGGATCTGATTAAAACTTCATCTCACATGATGAACGCTCGCCGAATAAGAAGGACGAGGCTGCTCATCACTTCCACTACAACTGACGAAATTGAATCAATCCATTTAAAGCTGCAGCGGCGACAGCCAGGGGACTTCTTCAAGGGTATCAGAAAACACAAGTCAAAAGATTATTCATGAATCGGTCACTTTATCTTCAAATCATCGGGAACGCAGTTTACCTTTGGTGCTCTGCGTGATTTACCTCCGGCTGATGCTATTCACCCCCAAGAAAAGGTGTTTTAAGCAGATCGAAGTGTTCTCGTCTGATTTTCCCGCGTTGTTTTCTGGGCATGTTTCCTGAGCTAGATTCTTCTTTGCCTGTCTTAGAATGAACAGCAAGGCCTTTGACGTTAATGCCAAAACCAGAGGCCTGCATGTTTCCCTGCTCCTTTATGACAGCGCCCTCTCTTTCTGAGGGGCCGTCGTCTTTTAGAGTGTACAGTGTGTTAACAGTGCCAACGTCCACGAGGGCAGCGTGGTCCTCACGCCGTGGCCTCGCAGCCTTCTACCCTTTTCCTTTGTTCTGGAAGAAAAAGCACACTGTCCAAACATTTCCTTTACATGGTAGTTTAATAGCTTTTGCTAATTTTTATGATACCTTGTTATAATTGTTATTATTATTATTATTAATATTATTAATATTGTTCTTATCCGTAGTAATATTTAATATTTGTTGCCTAGCACTGACAACTACATGTCGTGTAGTGCTACTGAGCTTGTATGATACTTAGAAAAAGTCATTTATAAATCATGCGATTATTGATACTGTATGTATGTATTTTTTAAAAACAGCAGCAACGATCGTTTACACAGGAGGATCTCTGCAGTGGTTTGGGCTTTTTGGATCTTCTGTAAAGATGAGAGAAACTTTTCCCTATAGTGGTACTTTAATCAAATTAGGATTCCTAAACTTTTACGGAGCCGGCCAGGTGTCGGAAAAACGCGTTCCTTTGGTTTATGTGCAGATGTTTGTGGTAGAGTTTCAGTTTTTAGTAAAATATTGCTAAGGTCTTCCAAAAATCTTTTTATGAAAAAAGAAATCTCCACAGCACTGGCCTGGAAATCTAAACAAACATAAATATTTTGCTCTGCGGGTTGGTCTAGCCGCGCTTCATGGTAGCCTCAGCAGGTCGACCGTTAACTGTGTGAAGTCGAGTCCAGGCCATTCACAACCTTCTGTGATTGTGGAGGGACATGAGGGCAGAGCTGTGATGGAGAAAATCTACTAAGATGGCGTCGGTTAAGGAGTGGCGCTCATTTGAAATGGCTTTGGTATCTACTTTGGACGTTTTAGACGTGGGTTTTCTTTGAGACATGAGCGGTACTTAGTCATCACACCCTGGTGACATCCCCGCGGGGGCAATCAGCTGCAGACTCGGCTGCGCTTGGGAACTGTTAGGTGGTTTAACACCCAAATGAACCCCCTAATGCTTGACACCGACTGTGGATTTGAACCCATGATCTCCCAGTCTCAGGGCAGACACTCATACTTCTATGCTACTGAGCTTTTACTTCCATGGTGTATGGTGGACTGCCCTGTTGACTGATTTCTGTAGCGATGATTATACCACACTGTTCATTGCTCTGACTGGTCATAGGGCTGTCCAATAGGGGGTGTATCAACTAGTCGACTAGTCAACTTCACTGCTCTGTAGTGACTTTTTATGCCTGTCATAGACTAGTCGCTGTCACGTGATAATGACCGGCAAGATGCAGTCCTTGGAAAAGACAGCAGGTGACGAGCTCCTGCGCGTCGGGAGGCCACGCGCTGTGCCAGAGCGTCGGTATCTGACGCCCGCCATAAAACGGACATTTGACCGAATTGTGACCTTTACCCTCTTGCAATTTAACCTTCCCCTCACCCCCATCCCAACCTTGACAGCTTGCGCATGCAAAGCTCTGATCGTTGACGCGCTCCAGAGCACGGCCACAGTAACATTATCAAATTAGGTGTTGCCACCTCAAAAACAAATTTAACACGCGATCGTTCATGTCGGCTCATTTCCTTTTATGTTTTCTGTCTTTTATTTGCGCCTGATGCGTTTCGCTGCTGTGGAGCGGGGCGCATCACCTGTTTTGTCCTCCGGTGACTTCACCTCACCTGTGGGCCCGCGCGTACTCCGCTGTTTTTGCGGTCGGTAGATTTTTTAGAACTGCAGTTCAAAGGTAACTCATAAGGTGAATATATATGAACCCAGGTAGCAGTTTCTCTTTAGGATTGAGAGGAGATGCAGGACGACAATAAACAGGCAGGACAGAAAAATAGTCAAATAAAAACAAGCTAGTTTTTGTACCTGCTGGTTGCAACAAACAGACACCACTGAAGGTAATCAGAAGTGAGGAACAGAAAATGAAATAATTATTTTAATGTTTAGAGCAGCAGGAACTCCGAGAGGCTGCAGGCGCATCAGTTTGCTGCTGCTGCGCAGGGGGAGGGGGGAGAGGGCTGAAGCAAGATGCAGAAACTACCGTTGTTAAAAGAGATGTGTTTAATTTGGAAAATGTGGGCGCAATTTTAATTGTCAAAAACTCCAGCGAACCCCCCCCCCCGGAAAAAAGCGCTTGGTCATCCATCGTCAGTTTTAGCCGCTTCAGGCGTATGACATCATCAACGACCAGTCGAAGTCGACTAGCCTTTCATTGCTTGACTGTCGACTTTAAATGAAGTTATGCAGCCCCTACTGTCCAACTCGTGTGGAGACAGTTTGAAAGACAGCCACAGATTGCCCCCATTACAACTGATCTTTGTCTATGGGTTGTGGCCAGACTTTCCATTTACATATATGGGGAGCCTACTTCTGGTCCATGAGTCCTCTATGGCCCAAAAAATATTAATGGGAGTCTATGAAACGTTCAAAGATATTTTCTGATCCAGTCTGATATGCGCCATGGATTCAACATACGACATCAGAGAATTTTAAAGACACACTTTGATGCCAAAAAAGCGCTTACGGTATTTTGGACAGGCAGCAAAAGCTACTTTAGGTTTTGTGTGAAAATCTACGCTGGGGAGAGAGATTCTGCTGTAGTAGTTTTACTTACAAATTCTTACAAGCAAATAAATCTCATAGTATGTAGACGCTGTCAAAACACACGCATAATAATCGTTTAAAGTGAAGTACAACACGTGTGATTTAGGGCTTAGAAATAACTTTTGGAGCTCCATTCACTTACATGTTTTTTTTGGTCAGGGGAGCCATGAGCCACGGACCGACAACCAGGGGAGGGCTCCCCATAGGATGCCTTGTCAGGCTACCATGACACCAAACTAAATATTTATGAAACTGATTGAGTTCTAGTCATCCACTTGGTCTGAGTTATTGTGTGTGACCATCGTTATGAATCTGGTTGACTCCAAAAGTTAACATCTATACATACATCACATGATTCCCATCTGGAAGTTTCTAATTAATGCATCCAGTGGTCCAGTCTCATATTTTGCTGACAAACACACAGAAATGGGTAAAAACTTCAGCAACAGGTGACAACATTACAATAGAAAAAAGGGTTTAGGAACCGTCTACTAATTGCACCATCTGACTATAATTTTCGGTATTATCAATAATATCTGTTATAAAATTAACATTACAACTGAGATTTAATAAAAATATAACTGTTGAAATATGATCATAAACATTTGTGTCACTTTGTTGACGTTCCCTAAACTTTCTCCTGCTTGCAGAAATCTATTTTAATGAGGTTATTTTGAACTTTTCTCCTGAGGAGGTGACGTTTGTAGTCTGATTGGGTTTTTAGGAGTCACTGAACACAAACTCACCCTAACCACATGCACAAAGTTTTCTTAACTAAGCCTCTGAAACCTGGCCGGCTCCATAGACTTTCATAAACTCATACTACTCCACAGTCAGATTATTTAACTGTAGTTCAAACCTGAGATGGACCTCCGGCTGATCTCATCCACCTCATCCTAACAACAGTGCCAAATCTGCAAGAACCACAACAGCTGGAGACAAAAGCTCTGCATGAATTAATTTCTGTCTATAGAGAGATGAAATGTTGCCTCCACGTGGACTCTCTGGGTGCTACTCTGCACACAGTAATCTCACTGGAGTCTGGATATGTCAGTAATGTGCAGCTGTAATCCTAAATAGTATTTTTGTTTTGGGAGATAAAAAAGCAGTTAAATAGCAGGCTTTGTTAACCCCTTTGAAAGATGAAATGAATAAAAAAAAACGAAGCAACACATGTGTCTTCAGTCTTTTTGTGTGTGCAGACTGATCACCACAGCACCTTTGGGGAAATGGTGGTGGGTCCTTCGAGAGGAACGTGATATTCCGGTGTGTAATGAAGACCTCCTGTGGCTGAGCTGAGATGCACCATCTGGATGCACGGTTCTTTTGTGGATTATAGGCTAATCTGACCTCAGTTTGTTTTCTCTTCACAAAACCTGCAGCAGCAATTCTGTTTGCATGAAGGATGGCAGCAAGTATAAATCTAAGGTTTCAGCTGCAGATGTCCCTGAAGTGAATCGTTGCGTCTCCGTGCATCTGTTTACTGCCTCAGATGGAAATAAAATGAAATAACCACTTTCTGATCAATTTTATTTTATTAAACAGCAATTTCACCCTTTGAGCCACGAATGTCCCCCAATTAGGGGACAAACAAGTGTAGCAGCAAAAGGTCTAGGGCCCAAGGTTGCATGTGTCAACTATTTAACTATGATATGTGGACATGAAGATGATCTGCACTTTTTACAGCAACATATGACATTTTTACAGTCTTTACTCGTTTATGTAATTTTACGTAGACACAGAATTAATGAAGATTTGAAAAAATCTTAATCTTTCTTATTTCCGGGAAACATAAATATTAAAGAGCAAGTCACCCCCAAGTCAACTTTCTTTTCTGATAAACTACATAAATGCGTGTCTAATCGTGCTGCAGACACATGTAGTCAATAGTTTTGCACTTTAGTGCATTTTAGTTGAAATTTTAATTTTCTGCCTAAAACTGTCAGTGTTGTGCCGTTGTCAGGTAAAACCTCTGCACTGCATTTGAATTTAAATCTGCCATCGCTATTGGCTAAGAGGTACCCTAGAATGTTAGCTGGTACCATATGATGTCACAATGTTGTTGTGAGCCTGTGTGTGTGTGCGTGCGTGCGTGTGTGTGTGTGTTAGCGGCTCCACCCTCTCGGTCTGCTAGGCAACGGCACTTGTTGCATTTTTCAAACAGGAAGTGGGAGGGGCTATGCAGTGACACAGTGGTTAGAACTGTTGCCTTGCAGCAAGAAGGTCCTGGGTTTGCTTCCCAGCCTGGGATCCTTCTGCATGGAGTTAGCATGTTCTCCCTGTGCATGCGTGGGTTCTCTCCGGGTACTCCGGCTTCCTCCCACAGTCCAAAAACATGACTGTTAGGTTGATTGGTCTGTCTAAACTGTCCTTAGGTGTGGAGATAGGCACCAGCCCACCCCCCCACCCACCCACCCCCCACCCCGACCCTGCATGGACAAGCGGGCTCAGAAAATGGATGGATGGAAGTAAGCGGGAGTTGAGTAAGAATCTGGTAGGGGGTGACTTGCTCTCTAATTCTTCCAAACACGTTTTTGGTTGTCTTAAAAGAACGTGAAATTCACACCCTCTGCTGGCAAAAAAGTAGAACAACACTCTGGTTTCCAACAGCATTTAGACAAGAAGAGAAGGTGGGGATTTGCCGTCCTTCAGTGTCAGAAAGCTGGTACTACAACTTAGTTCTTTTTAGCCAAGAGAACATTTTAGCCTCCTAATCTTTAAGAAACGTTAAAACAATCTTAATCTTTCTTTTTGTCCTCCTGGGAATATTAACATTAAGGAGGAGGAGGAACTGGATTTATAAAGTAACGAGTTACTAGTAGAAACACTTTCTTTATACTCTTCTTTGAAAGAACGGGGAATTTGCGCTCTCTGCTGGCAAAAAAGTAGAAAAACACCTTCCAGTGTCTGAAAGCTGGTACTGCATGTTTGTTACGTTTAGTTATTTAGCAGGAGATATTTCTTGTTTAAATGAAGCTTTCAATTTTTTTCTTTTTGTCCTCTTGGGAATATTAACATGAAGGATTTTTCTTCAAATTGTTGTTTTTCTTCAAATTAATTATATTTATGCATCATTTTGATGTCTCCTAATAGAGTGAACACTATTTTCTGTTTTCACAGCAGTTTGGCTGAAAATGCATAAAATGTTGTTTTCTAATGGATTTGCAGGAATAAAGTGAAAAGCATTGATTGTTTTAAATCACATTTTGGGTGAAAAGTCACAGTTTTTATTGAATTCTGGTTGGAAACTTCATTCATGTCCTATCTTTTTCCCTGTTAATAATTTAGATTTTAAGGTTACTCGGGGCCACATGTGGCTCCAGAGCCACAGATTGCAAATCTCTGAGGAATGAGGAAAGCTGCACTGTGGACCACAACTTCTGATTATTTCAAAATAAAAGACCTATGAAATAGAAATATGATATTTCAGGCAGCGTCTGACATTGAGTGATGGGTTCCTGCATGGATATGTTCTGTGTGCAACTGCTCACTCTCAGTAATCTGATCAGTCCCTCACACACCGTCACAGACAAATTGGTGTTTATGAAAAAAAAATGTCTTTACACTATTTGGATAAATTTACACGCCCCTCCAAAAACTCTCAATTCTGAGACACCTTCATGGGAAAAATGTCTTTGCTGTGTTCCAGAAGACTACAATTAGAAGTTCAAGGAATGGGATTTAGTTTAGCAGGAACATATTTCTCTGAAGGGACTTGAATATAAAAAGAAGAAAAAGAATCTTTCAGGATGTTCTGAACACTGCAATGAAAAGGAAAACACAGCCCAGCTGGGAAGGTAACATCAGGGTGATTTATGTTTCTGAAGTAGGGAGGAAGTAAACACCAAACTTGGATATTTTAAAAGCCAGTTTCTTTGTGTAAAGAGAGTAAAAATGAGTTAACGCTGGATAAAAGTAAACATTCCTGACATTTTTGATCGTGCAATGTTCCAGTTTGACCAGCAATGCTTCAAAATGTATGAAAAATACATAAGGAGAGCAACAGTTGCTGATTTTATTTGATATCTACAATCACTGCGGGGTGTTTTGCAGCAGTCTGATAATCACTGCTACTTTACATTATTTTCTACTCTAAAAGAGGTGATAACATTTCTGAAATAGCATTCAGGCAACTCTGGAATTCCATAAAAATCAATACAAATTCAGCATTTACGAGTATGGCTCTAAGAGTTTGTTTTTGTGCGAGAGTCTGCTCCTCATCCTTGGGAGGAACAATAATGCTTTCAGAGTCAGAAGGAATCCTCTTCAGGCATCCATCTCCATGCACCATATTCCATTTAAATGATTTATGTGCTGCACTGACAAACAGGTTTGATAGAGTTCTGATCTAATCTTAAAGCTAAAAGGCATCACAGTGGCTTTCAAGATGATAACATGATTCATGTGTTAATTTTTATTATTATTATTCCGTGCAGAATGTGTTCTTCTCTTTATTTTTGTGGTAAACAAAGCAACGCCCAACAGCGTACTCCTGTGTCCTTCATTGTTCTGGGACGTGGTAAAAGCTGCTTGTCCTGCTCTTGGGTCTCATCTAAACTTCATAGTTAGTGCCTCTGAAGAAGAGTGAGTTATTCGTATTTTGTTAATTTATTTTAGCTTTATTTTAAATTACTACTTTGTAGCACTTTGAGGTGTGAATGGAATTATACAAAAATATACATAAACATGAATATTAAATTATATGTTTTAATACACTGTTGCTCTTGTAAACACACTACTTCTCATCCTGGCTATAGGACATCTTTGTAAAAAAGTTATTTTCAGATCCCAATACATTTTCTTCCTGGACAAAAAAATTAAATAAAATGAATACATTTTTATTGTCATTATTAAAAAAAGTATTTTATCATACTCAACAACAACAAAACAACAACAAAAATAACACTAATAATAATAATTGTTATTATTATTATTATTATTACCGCCCATGATGAGAAGAAGAAGAAGAAGCTTTTTTCATCGGTTGCGTTTCCAAACTCCACTTCCCAGGATGCATAGCGGAACGATTCCTCGCCTCCTATTGGTCCGGCTTCCCTACCGGGGGAGGAAGACATGAGGCGGTGTTGAGAGCCGATCTGCGGAGCTGAAATGAAGCGCGCGCTCGCATCGACTCACACCGTGCCGACAGCAGTGCCGTTCGGTTCAGGCAGAGGCTCCGCTCCGCTCCAGCTGAAGTCTGCTCCGGCTGAATGAAGGGCTCCGTCCATGCGGAGGCTAGCGCTCTTTCTGCTGCCCTGTGCTGTCGCCGTCCTGGTGCACTTGTGGTTGGCACAACGACCCTCCTTCGCCCCGCTGGACAACAACACTCACCCGGGTACTTTTTTAGCCACAGCTCCCTCGGCTTCGGCTTCTCGGAATCTCTGAACTTTTTACCACCGTTAGCGGCAGGCTAAGTTTACCTTTACCGCCCCGTTGTGGTCGCTAGTTTGTGTTTGAACAGCTAGTTTGTGGACCCAGTGTGTGCTCGCGACACAGCGAGCGTGTTTAGAGGATTATTGAGACCGTTGAGAGTTGGGCGTAGCTGGGATAGACGGGCTGGCGCGAGCGCAGCATCTCGGGCTGGCGCGAGCGCAGCATCTCGGGCTCTCATCGTTGCTATAGTGGCGCAGAAACGCGCTTTTCACCACATCTGCACACTTTCACCAGCTTTTGATGCTTTAATAACACGTACATTTGCACAAGGTCAAATATAGGGTTTGTTATGCATATTAAAACAAATGTGATTTAAAATGTGCTTTATGCTCTATTTTACTAACATTTCTGCGTTAATCAGAGTTGCAATGCCCATGCCTGCATGCAAAAAGGAATTTAAAACATGTATGAATCCTTTTAAAATTAGATGCATTTTTAATTTTTAACTTTATTCCTTCAACAATTTTTACCATGTTAAATAAATATGTAAAATATTGATTCAAAATATTCTCCACCCTTTCTTTTGTGCAGATGCGCCTTTGCCTTTCTATGAAGTCCTGGTGGGAGTGCTGTCAGCCAGACACCATTACGAGCTGCGACAGGCGATAAGAGTGACCTGGCTGGGGTACATTAGAGATCACCCTCACTTCCAGCACAGGTTTGTAGAGATGGACCTCTAAACTTCAACAACCTGTGTAATATCCTATAGTGGAAATAAAAGCCTGGAGCTGTGGCAGCAAGTAAGTGACTGTTGCATCCACCCTTTTATCTTCACCTGACCGGTGGGGCCATATTGTTCTCTCTGTTCTTCTTTTTTGTCCATTTCCTTCTCGTTCAGCGATTTCAGCACAGATGAGGTGTGGTAGCCTTTAAGCAACCCTTGGTAACCACGGCAACGGATGGTAGATAGATGGACAGGCTTTAGGGAAATTTGTTGCAGGGAAAAAAGTGAATGGAAAAAAAGGTGTTTTTATTTTTTTCAGAGTGGCGGTGAAGTTTATCGTGGGTCAGCATGGATGTCCCATTCCAGAGGAGGACAGGGAGGATCTTTACTCCTGCTCCCTCTTGAACTTCAGTGAGCCAGGTAAAACCAAGCAGAAAGAATGCTGTCATGCCGAGGAATGCTCTCTGCGATGTGTTGCTTGCGTGTGCAGTTGTCAGGCGCAGAGTGGAGGCAGAACAGCAGCGGAGGAGCTGGAAGAATGAGTATTCAGAAGAAAAAGTAAAAACACCTTTATTCATGTTCATCCGCAGCTCAAGGACAACGTTCTCTTCCTCTCTGTGTTCGTGGCTCTGGTGGAAATGACTGATAATCTGCTGCAGGAGCAACTGCCTACCAACACACAAAAGCCATAACGTAAATGAAATAATTAGATCTCGCCAGTTTGAAAGCGTGCGGCGGCTGTTGCGTCTCTCACCTTCACAGGATGCGTCCAGCTCAGCCGTGTCACTACTTTCATTTTCTCACAGGTTTTGCAGCTGTCACGAAAACATAATTACCGCTCATCAGAAGAGACTTTTTCAGACGACAGCCTTTAAGGTCATGACGGTTTTATTATTTATTTATTTATTATTTCTCTCTGCTCTGTTAATGGCCGCACGCGTTGACGTGATTTGCCTCAGAATTACGGGCAGGCGGGCAGCTTTTGGTGTGAGATGCTCGGCGAAATTGGAAGTAAAAGAGACGGGGGCTGCTGTTAAAGACCGTTAGGAACCGGACTTGGATTTGCGTCAAAACCAGAGTTAAGAGGACTATTGGCTGTTGATGAAATGTGTTTGTGCTGAATTCATCACAGGTTGTTTCTCAGGGACTGCGATAAGGTGAATGCTAATTAGCTGCTTAGACTTAGTTTTAGAAATCCTGCTACCAGTACAAAGAGTTTGCATCCAGGAGCACCAGACTCCTGCTGTTATCAAAGTTGGGAGGATTTGTTTACATCGGCATGTCGTCATTAGGGCTCAAAATAGCCCTAAAAAAACTAATTACAGAAAAATACGGGAGGTGTTTGTGCTCCAGGCTGAATCTTTTATTTACTTTAAACTATTTAGAAAATATTAAATCCGTGAGCGCTCATCGGCCTGACCTTTCAACGCTCTTCGAATTTTCCTGTACTTTGAACGTCTCATCACTCATATTATTAAATCATTATGAAAAAGGATCTTCAAACACACACACCTTCAGTCTGGTGGTTTGTGCTACTTATCTAACTACACTGAACAAAAATATAAATGCAACACTTTTGTTTTTGCTCCCATTCTTCATGAGCTGAACTCAAACATCTGAAAAATTGTCTACATACACAAAAGACCAATGACTCTCAAATCCATCCATCCATTTTCTTCTGCTTATCTGGAGTCGGGTCGCGGGGGCAGCAGCCTAAGCCGAGAGGCCCAGACTTCCCTCTTCCCAGCCACTTGGGCCAGCTCTTCCGGGGAAATCCCTGACCAGGTGAGAGACAAAGTCCCCCCAACATGTCCTGGGTCTCCCTTTAGGCCTCCTCTCGCTTGGACGAGCCTGGAAAACCTCAACAAGGAGGCATTCTGACCAGATGCTCGAGCCACCTCAGCTGGCTCCCCTCGACTCTCAAGTATTGTTCTTAAATCTGTCTACATGTGTGTTAGTGAGCACTTTTCTTTTACCAAGATAATCCATCCCAACTCACAGGTGTGGCATTTTCAGGGGCTGATTAGACAGCATGAATAACGTACAGGTGTGCCTTAGACTGCCCACAATAAAAGGACATGCTGAGATGTGCACAGCTTTGCTTTATGGGGAGTGGTGGGGCAGAAAACCAGTCAGTATCTGGTGTGGCCACCAGTGGCAACACATCTCCGTCGCATAGAGTTGATCAGGTTGATTGTGGCCTGTGGAATGTTGGTCCACTTCTCTTTCATAGCTGTGTGAAGTTGCTGCATATTACATAATTCCTGGAAGTGAAAGGTGCTCACTAAGGGGCTCGACACACAGGAGGCGACAAACGGCCGCGATCAACGAAATTCGTCGCTGTTATTACCTGACACACGGGAGGCGGTCAGCGGCAAAGCCGTCTACGCGTTCTGTTCCATGGCGAAATCGAAACTTCCGTTGTTTTGTTTGCACTGTAACCCCGAATAAGTTCACTGAACTCAAAATTTATGAGGAAACTGATTACCTAATCATTTTTAAGCTAACTATCTAAAAACTATAAGTTTACCATAACTTAAAAAATATGACCTGAATAAAATCAAAGCATTTAACTACCTCCAACCTATAACTTGGTACTTAAGCAACTTACAAAGTTTAATTTAACTAAACTTACATATTTTATTTTATTTGAACTTTATTACATGTTTTTACTAACTTAAATATTATAACTTATATGAACTCTAAATGGACCTTTTATACCCTAACCCAAATAAGTTGAATTTACTTAAAAGTGACAATGTGGCAGACAGGTGAAGGCAGTACCTAGCACCAGATCATGACTCACACACCCATAAATGCTGACAACCACTGAAAGTGGCGCACTCAAAGTCAAGTCAAGAGCATCTGGTGTGAACAACCACAGTATTGATAACAATGGGACAGCACAGCCGTACAGCAGTACTTTGACCAACCTCCTCACTTATGGGGCCAACATGATACAAAAAGTAACACCACATCTGCAACACTGAATGAAATAATAACTGAGAACAACAATCTCCCACAATAAACATTCATAAACACCCCCCAAATAGAGCAAAATAACTGAAAACATAACTACCCACAATGCACCTCCCCCACCAGCTGTTTATTGTTCCTGAAATCCAACAAAATTGCTAGTTTGTGGTTGTTTTTCTTGTAAATCCACAAATATTTAAAATAATATACACATCTATTTATCAGACACACTTAAGGGTTGACGTAAAGATGAATGGAATAATATAGAAACATAAAATAATAAATCAATCATTTTTTTGGTTAACACATTATTCATTAAAATTAAGTTGTCTTATTGATTAATTTAAGTTATGTGTACTTAAAAAACAAATAGTTCAGATTAATTAAAACGTTTGAGTTAAATGTACTTAAAACAAGGAAAAGGTTGGACAAGCTCAACACATTTGAGTTCTAAAACCTTTTTTTTAATTATGAGTTTAATCTACTCAATATATTAGATTATTTTGAACTTTTGGGTTTACAGTGTGGCTGTGTCAGGTTGGAGGTAATTAAGGTTATTTAAGCGGTTCAGAGTTAATAAAGCGATAGATATGATGTTTCACAAGGTGCTGCTAGAGTTATGTGAAATCTTACTTCTGATTTTACTATAAAACATAATAATAATCAACTTCTCCTCCATGTTTGCTCGGAGATGTGCAAAGCATCCTGTCCGTTCATTGGTCGGTGAAAGAAACCTCCGTTGATTGGTCCTCGACTGAGCGACAGCGATGAAAAGTTGAAAATGTTTCAACTTTCTGGGATCGCGTCGCTGGGTCGCCTGTGCACGACACGTGCACAAGTGCAAAATTTCACACGCACGTTTTTTGCGTTTCGCTTGGTAGGAGGGAGACCCGCGATTATCGCTTTGTTGCGCACGTCTCATTGAAAATGAATGGAGGAGAGGCGATGTCGCCTCCCGTGTGTCGAGCCCATTACGCACATGTAGACAGATTTCAGAACAACATTTGAGAGTCATGGGTGTTTAGTGCACTTAGAAAAAGTTTCAGACGTTTATGTTCAGCTCATGAAAAATGGGAGCAAAAACAAAGTGTTGCGTTTTTATTTTTGTTCAGCGTAGAAAAAAGGCATTTCTCACAGATAAAGTAAAGTGCAGAATCGAGGCCCTTTTATTTCCTAAAGAGAGACTAGGCAGTTTTGCTAGCTTTTAGCACATTTACCAGAATCAAAAGCTAAACTTATCTCCTCGGTGTGCGTTCGTCTTTTAACACCTTAACCTAACAGCTGAAACATCTCCCCAGCCTTCATTATTGTCTACAGGAGTGATTCATCATTAAGTGAAACAAATCAGCTGTGTTCATGTTCTAAAACATGCAGTAAATTTGCTGCAACCAGACGGCACCGCCGGGTGTGTGAGCTCCATTTTATTCTTAGTCCAACAGACCAGACCGGCACTCTGAAGTTGCAAGTGGAATATTCTGACCACAGGGGCTGGGTGGCCTTTCATTAACCCTATAAAGGGTCATTTTAGCACATACTGGCTCAAGAAAATGATCTAAAATAGGAAAAAGTTGCACAGTCTCTCTTTAATAATAAAACTGGCACTTCCCACATGCAGTTCTTAAATTCTCCACCAGCCTCGTTTACTGTGAAATCGTGTAACACTTGCCTTTTGAAATACGATCAGTCACTTTGAATTGCGTATGCATGCTGAATGTGCACGTTTTCTTCCACCCTCGTTGCCTGCACCAGATGCAGAAAATAAATGTACGAGAAAAAGGTCGGGTTAGTGAAAGCCAGTCTCTTCTACATCACAGGGAAAATTAGTATTCCTGGCCCCGCCCACCGTGGCTTGCGACCGCAGAAAGCTCTGGGGATTTTGCAGCCAGGAGAGAGCAAAGTGTGTCTCAGCTGGTTGAAGCTAAACGTTAGCATTAGCAACTCCACAACTGGGTGGAACATGTTCAGGTTTGCGTTATATGTGGAGATAACACATCAATGTTGCTTCTTTTTTACCTAAGAACGAGCTGTGTTGCTGTTAGCCAGTCAAAAACCACTTTTAAGTGGTGATCACCTGACTAAACCACTCACGGCACAGACGTCCCTGGAAAGCAGAAGCGTTGAACTTATTTGTCTTGACAAGGTTGCACAAGTTAAGCATTTGCATTTAATCAGCAAAGGAACATTACCCATTTCCTCTCACATTGGTAAATTCCTGCAGTTCAATTCCATTCTGTCGGTGTGGAAAACATTTGGTGTGACAAACCGCTGCTCGCTCTTTGTGATGCCTCGTCTCTTTATGTTGGAAGGAGCAGCAGAAGTGGCGTGGATTGCATCTAAAGGGAAAAGCCCCGTTTCTCTTCAACAGCCTTGATCTTTTCATTGATCTCTCGAGTAATAAACTCCTCTTTAGTAATTAAGAAAGCTCACTTTGAAGGCAGCAGTCCTGAAAACCGACTCCTTAAAGTGCTGATGGTGGAGCTTTAACAAGACGGAGTTTTCTTCTCTGAAGGCTCTTTCTGCCGCCGACTCTTCATCACAGAGCAGAAGAATAAAAGATGTTCTGCATGCTGGAGAGGTAATGCATATTTAATGTGCTTCCTCATCTACCCTCTGTGTGGCAGTGACCGGGCAGGATGCGGAGATAGAGACCGTTACCGTGCCTGACCCCTCGGTGCTCGTCCCCGCGGATGTTTCTGCCATCGCCCTGGACTTCAAGGTCCTCCACCCAGTGGTCATCACCAGACTCGGGGTGTTTCCCAGCGGGACCCGGCCCGAGCTTCAAAGCAATGTGACGGTGAAGCTTCTGCAGCTGGATCAGGAGGTAACGAAGCCCGACTTGTGAGCATAATGTATCCCGTCTTTTTATTTTTGTAAAGCCTGGTAGAAACACAGCCTGGGGGCAGCTGGAGGAGTCAGCTGCTCTGAGCTGACAAACCTCACATCATTCCCAATCACTGCAGACTTGACAGTGGACTGTAGTATTTAGAGTGGATCACACTAACCACAGATTCTTTTTTAGTTAAATGTGGATTAAAGCTTCTTTTGTGCAGGAAGCTGTGGTTACTGCTCGCTTCAGCTCCATCAGCACCGGGACCATGGTGAACTGGGTCTGGTACAAACCTGTGGAGCAGTTCATCTTACCCAAGGTCAGTTTTTACGGTCAGTGATGCTGCACAGGGCTGGTTGGAGGTGTGCAACAGTTCATTTGGGTTCACAGAGAACGGAGTACTATACCCTCATGAGACCTGAGCTTATAGATTTACTGTGTCATTTTAATTTTAAGGTCCCATGAGTCAAAACCACAAATAAGTTTCAGTTTCAAAATGTGCAATGATGTGATCTGATGAGTTTTTGTCCAGATTGATTCATTTTTGCTGCTTGAGACCGAGAGGTCACCTGGGAACTAAAACATGGAAACATCACGACATGTCTGAAACACGCATAAAACCGTAAATCACCTTTAATTCATCTAAGTATGTACAGGCTTGCTATTTGCAGCTTTGCCTACACCTCACCTTTCAAATTTTAAACAACCATTTTGGTATTGTACTTGTTATTCTTCACACTAAAATCTGTTGTTCTCTAAAGAGAGTTTTGTTTAACCAAACTAATAAAAGTAGAAATAATTTTCTTTTCAAATCTTATTTCAGTTGTTGTTGCCGTTATACTATAATGTCAAACCAAATGTCAAGCTGTGCTTTGCTGCCCTTTATGGTGCCATACTTTCACCATTTTTTATTTGTGGAGTGACTTTTATTACTGATGACTTCATCCACCCCCGTTCCACTCCACCTGTGATGTCACCAGGGTCTTTATGCACAAAGACTTATGTAGATTTTCTCTTAAAAGATGAGTTACGCTTAAATCAACAAAAGATGCATACACACAGACGTATTCAGAGGGTTTTACTATGCATTAAGTTCAACATAACCTTAGTTTAGTTTGACTAAATCTGATCTAAGAGATTAGGTTTTGGGCATTTAGATTAATTTACAAGCTGTTATGGTGCTAGATGGTGTCTGTGCCAGCCACCCTGTTGCTTGGAATGAATGAATCGTTGGTTTACATGCCACTACAGCACAAAGTTGGTTCACGTCCTGTATAATTGGCACATTAATTGAATAAAAATGCCTTCTGTTAACAAACATATTTAGCGTGTGATCTTATATAAATGAGGACTCTAGATTGCTTGGTTCTTGTGATGTAGGAGACGCTTTTCTGGAGTATTTTTTACCAAACTGCTTCAAATCTTCTTCACATACCAATGGCCACCAATATATAAAAACGTACAGTCTTGTAAAAACTTCAAAGTCCCGCTTTTACTGATTGGATCCTGATCCGTCTGTCAATCTCACACCTGCAAACTGTTGCTTTTCTGTGAAAATCATCGTTTTTGAGCCAAATATGGCGTTCACGTGAATCGTGCAGATCCGAAGAGTTTTTGTTTTGAGGGAAGGGGGTCTTCTGTCAGGTTTCAGCGATGGGTTTCAGTCACTCTTATGAAAATCAATCAGAGAAAGGAGAGGGGATTCCTCTTGTTCACAAACAATCTGTGTAGTAGTGTGTTAGCCACGTGTCATCGTTTGACCAATCACAGTCAGAGACGGCACGCTGCGGCTGATGAGACCTTTTTCACACCCTACGAGTTTGCAAGTATGTAATATACCCTCTGCCCCCCCCCCCTTGCAAATACAACTTCTTTGTGCATGAGTTGTACCTTCTCAGCTTGAAGCTGTTAAAAAATAAAATAAACAATAATGAACAAGAATCTGCTTCTAGACCTGCAGAAAGAGACAAAAAAAGGGACACAACAACAATACAAGATCAAGCTATCACTGCGTCAACTTGATGAAGAAATATAAAATCAACATTGTTTAACTGAACAATCACACGATAATAAATCACAGTGCATTAAGTGCCAACCACAGCCTTAAGACCTGTGTTGAACGTGCCCAAGCCCATACTTATGAGAGCACCATGTGAGCACCTGTGTGTGTACACGCGCTTGTATATGTAAGGTTTCTCTATAGGAGCGTCCAATAGAGAGTGTGAGGGACCACAGATCTGCCCCCCAAAGATGTAAAGTAAGTAAAGTAAAAGTTTATTTATAGAGCGCCTTTCACAGATATAAATCACAAAGCGCTGTACAACATGATAAAGATCAGGGCAAATACCTCTAACCAATACAAAGATCAGAAAAACAATAGCAGTGATAAACGTAGAAAATAAAATCATGAGTATAAACAAAGTCAAGGTGTGAACCCAAACAAAGCCATCTTTTTGAAACATTTAGGGAGGGAACGCCTGGATGAAAAGGTGAGTTTTTAGATGATTTTTAAAGACCTCTACAGTGTTAAGAGAGATGGAGATTTGAAGGTAGACTGTTCCAAAGTCTGGGGGCAATAGTCTGAAAGGCCCTGTCCCCTTTGGTTTTCAGTCTGGTTCGAAGAACAGCCAGGAGGTTTTCAGATTTGGATCTAAGGTTCCAAGAGGTGGTGTGTGGGGATAAAAGCTCAGATAGGTAGCTTGGAGCCTGGTTGTTAAGAGCTCTATAGGTCAGGACTAAAACTTTAAACTGAATTCTATATTCTACCGGGAGCCAGTGGAGGGACTGTAAAACTGGAGTGATGTGAGCTCGTCTGCTGGATTTGGTTAGGAGTCTGGCTGCTGCATTTTGGATGGCTTGAAGGCGTGAGAGGGAGGTTTTGCTGAGACCAGTAAAAAGAGCGTTACAGTAGTCTAAGCGTGATGACACAAAGGCATGGATGATTTTTTCCAGATCTGCAGTAGAAACCAGTTTACAAACTTTTGAAATGTTTCTCAGTTGAAAGAAACAAGAGCGGGAGATGGTTTTGACGTGTGAGTCTAAACTTAAAACTGGATCAAAAATAACTCCCAGGTTTCTAATGTTGGCCTTGGCTGATGGGCAAAAAGAGGCAATTTCTTGCTCGATTTTTGGCTGAAGTTCCGGGGGTGCAGCGATCAGGGTCTCTGTCTTGTTAGCACTGAGGGCAAGAAAGTTGCTGGACAGCCAGTTACTGATCTGGGTCAGGCAGAGTACAAGGGTGGCCAGCCTGTCCAACTGGTGTGGCATAAAGGACATATGGAGCTGAATATCATCAGCGTAGATGTGGTAGGAGATGTCTGGGAAAGACTGAATGATGCCAGCTAGGGGAAGAATATACAACGTGAATAGTAGAGGCCCTAGAACTGAACCTTGTGGGACCCCGCAGGTTAGAGAGGCAATATCTGAAGAGAAGGTTTCTGACTTCACTGTGAATGTTCTGTTAGTGAGATAAGAAGAGAGCCAGTCTAGAGCAGAACCTGAAATCCCAGCCAGGGCCTTTAACCTGTTAAGTAGTACGTTGTGGTCTACAGTGTCAAAAGCTGCACTGAGGTCGAGCAGGACCATGACAGAGCATTTCCCTGCATCAGCAGCCATCAGGAGGTCAATATGCACCTTTACTAGAGCAGTCTCAGTTGAGTGTTGCTTCAGAAAGCCAGATTGGAAGGGGTCAGAGATCTTTGACTTAGAAAACCAGGATCTGAGTTGGGTTTCAACAACCTTCTCAAGTACTTTGCTGATGAAAGGTAGTTTAGAAATGGGCCTAAAATTACTGGTGGAGCTGGCGTCAAGGTTGGGTTTCTTTAAGAGAGGAGTCACTACTGCATTTTTAAAGTGAGATGGAACACAGCCTTGGCTCAGTGAGCTGTTGATTATAGTCAACAGAGATGGACTGATAGAGGCAAGGGGCCCGACTAAAACAGAGGGAGGTAAGATATCTGAAGAGCATGATGAGAGTTTCATCTGACTGATTATTGAGGTTGAAGATGCCATCATCCAGCTGCTTCAACCAACCCACTGTCATCTGGACAAAGCAGGCAGCACTGTGAGGGTCATGTTCTTTGATTTCTCCAGTGCATTTAACACAATCCAGCCTGATGTACTTTGCCAGAAACTCCAAAAGACACAGGTGGGGGCCTCAACTATCGCCTGGATTAAAGACCACCTGACAAACAGACCACAGTTTGTGAGGCTGAAGAACTGCACATCAAACCAGGCGATCAGTAACATTGGAGCACCACAGGGGACTGTACTCTCACCATTCCTTTTCACCCTGTACACCTCAGACTTCCAGTACAAGTCAGAGACCTGTCATCTACAGAAATACTCATGACTCTGCAGTTGTCGGGTGTATCAGAGATGGACAGGAAGCTGAGTACAGAGAGCTGGTGGAGCGCTTTGTGGCATGGTGTGGAAACAATCAACTGACCTTGAACGTGAACAAAACAAAGGAGATGATTTTAGACTTCAGAAGAAACAGGGTGGAGTCAAACACTGTTTCCATCATGGGAGAAGAAGTGGAGGTGGTTGAGGAACACAAACACCTTGGAGTTCACCTGGACAACAGACTGGACTGGAGAAAGAACAGCGAAGCCGTTTACAAGAAGGGACACAGCAGACTGCACTTCTTGAGGACGCTTAGGTCCTTCAATGTCTGTAGCAAGATGCTGCAGATGTTCTACAAGTCTGTTGTTGAGAGTGTAATCTCTTCAGCCATCGTCTGTTGGGGTAGCAGCATCAGAAGCAGGGACCTGAAAAGGCTCAACAGCCTAATAAAAAAGGCTGGTTCTGTTCTGGGGACGACTGTGGAACCACTGGAGGAGATCATGCAAAGAAGGATTCTCCAGAGAATCAAGAAAATTATGGACAACCCTGAGCGTTCTCTTCACAAGACTGTCCGACAACGGAAGAGTGTCTTCAGTCAGAGGCTTCTTCAGTTTGGCTGCAACACTGACCGCTACTGGAGATCCTTCCTGCCAACAGCCATTGTAATATACAACAACTCTTTGATGACTTGATTATTATTATTATCCTGAGCTACTACAGCAATCAATTTCCCTCTGGGATTAATAAAGTATTTTTTAATTGAATTGAATTGAAGTCATTTAGTGTAATTGGGGAGAAGGAGGTGAAAGACTCGGAGCACTGGGGGGCCTCCCCTCCTGAGGGGGCGAGGGCTGGTGGAATCCTGGATCTCAGATTCAGCACCTTTTTTGCAAAAAAGTGGAGAAATCTGTTACAGTCATCAGCTGAAGATAGCTGAGCCTGCTGCGGAGGAGAAGACACGATGCTGGAGATGGTATCAAACAAAACCTTAGGATTATTCTTATTTTGACATATGAGGTTGCTGAAGAAAGAAGACCTGGCATTTTCTACAGCTTTGTTGTATGACTCGAGAAGTTCTTTAAAATATTCACGATGAACAACCAGACATGTCCTCTTCCACCGTCGTTCCGCTTTTCTATAGGAGCGTCTAAGTTCAAGAATCTGGTTGTTCAGCCAGGGAGAACTGGAGGCACTGGAACTGCGGCTGGTTTTGTAAGGAGCGACCTGATCTAGAATTTTGAGGCAGTGATCATTAAATGAGTTGGTAAGGAGCTCTACGTCATCAGAGGAAGGAGGTACAAAGTCAAAGAGGGAGGAGAAATTTAAAATGGTAGAACTGTTGATAATACGTCTTTGCTTAGCAGAGTCTGGTAAAAGAGATTCAGAATTTAGGTTAATATGAAAAGAAACTGACTTATGGTCACTGAACACAACATCATGTATCTGCAGCTTATCAACAAGAAGTCCGTAGGAAAAGACCAGATCCAGGGTGTGGCCTGCTCTGTGAGTGGGACCAGACACGTGTTGAGAGAAGTTAAAAGAGTTCATCATGTTTAGGAACTCCTTAGTGGAGCTGTTAGATCCTCAGCGTGGATGTTGAAATCTCCAACAATGATTATCCTGTCTAGTTTAATAGTTGAAGATAGGAGGTCCTGAAAGTCAGACAGGAAGGATGAAGTAGATCCAGGTGGGCGATAGACCAGAATTCCATAAACTGGTTGAGCTCGACCAATTTTAATCATGATCATCTCGAATGGGCTGTAGGAGTTTGAGGATATAATTTGGCACGATAAGTGTTTCTTAAAGATAACAGCTGTTCCTCCACCGCGGCCTGTGGTTCGTGGAGCAGAGAAGAAAGAGCAGTCTTGAGGACAGAGCTCACGGAGATGAGTGACGTCATTTTCGAGCTGCCACGACTCAGAAATCCACAAAAAGTTTAATTTTTTGGTCCAGAACAGATCGTTGAGGATGTGAGACTTGTTGGCGATGGAGCGCACGTTAATCAACATCATTTTCGCGGAGGTATCTGGCGATGTGTGTGCCGCGGGCTCGATAATGGCGGGTGGCTGGCGGGCTAAGCTACGTAGCGACTCCACGCTACGCCCGTGGAGGTTCTTTACCTTCAGGTAGCGTCCTGCATCAGGGGCTCCATTGAGCAGCGAGATCAGCCCAACTCCATTGACTTTCTGTTGGATCCGCCACAACACAGCCGCGGAGCAGCGATCAGGCAGAGCTTCGCCTCTCAGGATCTTTCAAAGCTGAACGAGGAAGCCGGCTCTCTTCCCCCGTTGTCATGTCCCTGGGAAGGTGTTTAACCCACGACATGAAGAACCATCACAGGACAAAGGCAAAAAGTTCAAACAATGATTTATTAAACCTAACTAAAAGTGTCCTGGAGATATCCAAGTTCGAAGTAGTCGGCAAGAGTCCAGAAGCCAGCAGGGAGGGCAGACAGTGTGACGGGGTGTGTCCAGGAGAGGGAGCCAGATGATGGCGGCAGAGGGCAAGTGGAGCAGGAGGAGAGGCGAACCTTGAGAGTGTAATCCAGGCGGGTTATGGTGACTTCCAGGTAGGTACATCCATCAGTGGTTCAGCGATTCCAAGTATCCTGAAGATGAAACAAACTTGAGTCCAAACACCAGAATCCAAGCACAAAAAAACAGATAAATCCAAAAACTGCGACAGCACGAATGTCTGAGCAGAGACCAAGCAAAACCTAAGAACTGAGTGGCAAGATTCTACCGTGAGTAGTTAATCATCCAGCGCTGTGAAGTGGTTCCCTCTCCTCTTAAATAGAGCTCTGCTGCGGATCACCTGAGAAGCTGCAGCTGCCGCTGATTGCTAATACCCCGCAGCTGGTGAGCTCCCTCTCCTGAAATGAAGAGCTCAAAGATGTTATAGAGATTAGGAGTACTCACCCCACCACACAACACCCGTTTCCTCTTCCATGGCCTCCTGGGCAGCGGCAGGCCGACAGGTAACAGAGGGCCGAGATCTGGGTTAACGCCAGGTTCCAGAGGCGGTGGGAAAGCGGGTCCGGTATCGGAGTTCTGGAGGTTCATCATCGCGGACCTGATCGACAACAGTAAGTCTCGATCATATGTTAGCAGGGACTCCGCACCAGATAGAGAAAAAACAATAAAAAACAACAAATAACCAAAACAGATCAGGAGCCTAGCAGACGCACAGCCACTCATGGGTGCCATCTTGGACCGTTTTATGTGCAGGAGACGGAGGGAGCTCCAAGTCCCGGAGATCCAGGAGCTGCCCCAGAGCACAGGAACCCCAAGGAGACTGCAACCAGAAAGGCCCCCACCCCCCTCGAGAGGCACAGAGGGTTGTCCCGGGGGGCCACAACCAGCAGCCGGCAGAGTCCTGGGAGATATCGGCGGCAAGCCCACAGGCCCACCCGCAGCCTCCCACCCCCTAGCCGGCCAGTTGTTTTTATGGTGGTCTGACAGTGTCCAATGTGTACAGCAGTCTCCTGTATTCTGGAGGCGTGGCTTAGAAGATTTGGGGTTGGACCTTTTGAAGTGTAGCTTGCATTTTCCAGCAAGTCCAACCCTACCCTTGGGAATAAGATACGCCTGGCATATGGATAATCCATCCCACATCGCTGGAATGGCCCAGCTTAGGGTGGACCAGAACCAGTTCTTTCGAAGATGCTCCATCCATCCATCCATCCCCCCCAATATATATATATATATATACACATTCATACATATATATATATATGTGTGTGTGTATGTATGCATGTATGTATGTATGTGTATATATATATATATATATATATATATATATATATATATATATACATTGGCCCAGCCCTTCGCCAATCTTTTTCAAAATTATTTTTATGAGCGATATTTTTTTTATGCCTATGAATTTGTCTCGCAGATGAGATATTGAAGACTAGGGATGTCCTGATCAGGTTTTTTTGCCCTCGAGTCCGAGTCATTTGATTTTGAGAATCTGCCGATACCGAGTCCCGATCCGATACTTTCGATACATAAAAAAAAAGGAAGAAACGGTTCCAGAATGTTCCTTATTTTTTATTTAATTACCTTTTTATTTTAAATTTTTAACAACAGATCTTTTCTGTGAGGTAGCTTGAACAACCAAGTAATAAATAACATAAATTCTTCACTTTTGGACTTAATTGCAAATATAAAAAGTCTAATATAAAAACAGATAGCACTTCAACCTAAAATACCTGGCAGGGGTCTATTTTGCCTCGGCCCCCAAAATGCTTAGATACGCCCCTGGGCATGGGACGGAGTTTTGAAGATGATCTGAACTGTATCAACTATATAAATACTACATGCTGATAAAGTATTGCTTTATACAGGTGCAAACGTGTAGTGGGATCAATCTACCTACATTTTATTTTGTTAAGAACTCTGTTTTGTTTTCTTGGTTTTTATTTTCCTGTCTTCCTGTCCCGTCTGTCTCTGATCTTCCTGCATCTCCCAGTCCTCCAGAAAAACTCCGGCCTGCTTCCTTCTTTTTCACCTCACAAGTAACTTTTTAACCAGCAGATCAAATTGATCTGTTGACCACAAAAAAAGCGGAGTGTGCGCCGCGCTGCCCGGCTGCGCCGGTGACTAGCACCGCAGGGGGGGGGGCATGTCCACACGTCATGCTCAAGTACAGTCATGGGCGTAATTTGGGGGGGGGGGGCATGCCCCCCCCCCCACTTTTTCCAAAGTCAAGTTTTGACCCCTGCACTTTTTACCATCCAAAAACAATATTACGCTATATTAAATTGACACTGGTTGAGCTCTAGGACCAAGCGGAAAACAACCGTTTGTGTTGAAGCCTGAGCATACTGTAAAGAATCAGCCCCCCCCCCCCACACACACACACACACACACACACACACACTTCTAAAGTGAAAATTACGTGCATGAGTACAGACAGAACTTACCAGAGAGAAAATGAACAGACGGTGTTGATTATATATTTTTTGGTGACGCCACTTAGAAAACGTGACTGGCCGTGTGCAGAACGCAGCTGGAGTTCATGAATAATCAGCGGTCTGCCTGCCGCTCTGCTCCAAAGAATCTTTTGTGCTCCTTCTGGGTGTGTAAGCTAAGGGCATCAGGGGAGCCCGACAACCTTTAAGGAGAACCAAGTTGCTCTCCTGTAATTTGAACCTAGTAACCGAGTCCGGATCGGGGCTTGGATCGGGAAGTAAAGGCCGAGTCCCGATCGAGTCTGAAACCACGTGATCGGGGCCGATTTCCAAGCATGTGATTGGATCGGGACATCCCTATTGAAAACTTCCACAAATCAGCACAGTTTATAGCCGATTAATGCAACGAATAGCCAATAAAATTCAGAAAACTGCGAAGTCTTATGTGTGACCCTCGTGGCCTGCTTCTGCAAACTGAGTAAGGACGACTGTGATTGTTTGAGCGCTCCGTGCAGTGTGTCAGACCCACAAAACGTCTCCTGTGCAAATATATTGCCCATCGTCATTTTTTGGACTGATGCATATCACATATCGCCCAACCCTAGTACTTCCAACACAGCTCCAAGCACAATTCCAGCAGAAATATCCTCGAAAACACCAAAGCAGCCGATGAGCCGGTCTCATCTCGGAGCAGGAAGTCGTTTTGTTTCATTTAAAACACACATTGCACTTTCTGCTAAATCCTCTGAAACTGCTAAAGCTGCTGTTGTGCTGTTGGTGCGTGCTTCGATATCCACTCATGTAACGGCATGAACATAGATGAATTCATACTTACATCATTTACAGTTTCATCAAGCATCTTTTATTGTAGAAACATACGTGGGGCTGTGCACGTTTCCACGATCATTTCATCACTGAGACTGTTGGAGAGAATGTAAAACAAAGGTTTTAAAGGTGAGGCATCGATGTGTTTGACTGAATTACATTTAACAGACCGGCTCTGTGTCTCTCTCATTCAGGGATTCGAGGGAACGCTGGTGTGGGAGAGTCCGGACTCGACTCCACTGACTACAGTAAACTCCTCCTCTGTGGAGCTCAACGATGGAGGAGGTGTCCTCAAGTTCTCCTCTGTACGTCGTCCCGTGTGTTCACACAAGTAGGACGAGAACAGCCCGACATGCTAAACCCTCTCCTCTCTTCTACTCACAGATTGCAGAGGGCGTTCTGCCACACAGAAGTGCTCTGGGATTTCCTGGTTTAGCTGGAGGCTTTAGGTTTACCATCTACGGTCAGTCCAGCAGCAGAATCCATAGCTTGTGGATCAAAACCACATCTCAGTGGGCTCTAATAAGGGAGTGTTTATGTAAAAACTCAGAAAGACATTGTTCATCGTGGCAGGTTATGAGATTATCTTGTTTTACCCCTTCAGGCTGATTCACGTGACAGACAGACGATAACGTTTGCTCCCCCGCATTTTAGATGCGTGTGTTTGCTTCTGACTCTGTTTTGTTGCCGTTGTTTGGAGAACACACATTAATTGATCACTGGAAATCGTAGTCTTGAAAACAGAACTAATGATCTATTCTGCAGATTTTGATGAATTATTTACTTTTAAAAAGGTTTTAATTGATTCAAATTCTTGCACAGTGAATGTAACTTTTTTCCCACCCAAACTTGTTCTCTCTTCCCGCCGTTTGCCTCCATGATGTTTCTCCCATCATCACCACTTGGGCATCAGATGAAGAGGGGCTGACGGGACTCCTGCAGGGCCGCTCAACCCGGATGGAGGCGCACGCCTCCAGGCTGAGGCAGGAGGACGCCGCGTTGCAGGAGGAGAGCCTCCGGCATGGGGACATGGTGTTTGTAGACGTGGTGGACACTTACAGGAACGTGCCTTCCAAACTGCTTCAGTTCTATAAATGGTGCGTCGAGTGCTAATGACCAAATTTCACAAGTCCTCTGAGGAAATTGAGTCGTTGTCTCAGAATGTCTCAGGAATCACTCAGAGAAAAACGCACCGATGGATGTTTTTAGTTTCTTGCAGACCTCTCGCCCTCCTCCCTCTGATTTTTGATGGTAATTTTGCCCTGGAATAATGAAAACAATCCTTAATTAAGGTTGCAAATTCCCTCTCTGACAGGTCAGTGGGCAGCGCCGACTTTAATCTGCTGCTGAAGACGGACGACGATTGCTACATCGACGTGGACTCTGTATTCATGAAAATTGATCACAAAGATCTCAAGCGCAAGAATTTCTGGTGGGGGAAGTGAGTACAGTTCAACGTTTGCATCATAACTTTGGTTCCCCACGAAGGTGCTCGACATAGTGGTGCTGTCTGCCGCTCTGACCCAGTTTCAGGCAGAGCTGGGCGGTGGATCGCATCGGGAAGTGGCAGGAGCTGGAGTACGCCAGCCCGGCCTACCCGGCGTTTGCCTGCGGCTCGGGCTACGTGGTCTCCCACGATCTGGTTCAGTGGTTCGCCGGTAATGCAGAGAAACTGAAGGCTTATCAGGTGGAGATCGCTGAGCACTAAGCAACTGTGGCAGATAATCAGGAGCATGAAAAATGAGCTGCATGTTCTGGTTTCATTGCAGGGAGAGGACGTGAGCATGGGGATTTGGATGGCAGCCGTCGGACCGCAGAAATATCAGGTGAGACAAATGAGTGGTTTATTATTGGAGTTCTGATATAAAATACAGCTTTTTAGAGTTTAGTCGGGAAAGGAGCAGAATGCCAGAGCATGCTACATCCTCAGAACACCAAACCTCATCCACGCGAACCGATAAAGCTCGAGATGCCACAGAAAAATCACTAACGTATGCAGATATTTTTGAGGTAGAATGTCTTAGTGCAGCGTGCAAAGGGACCTCATCCTAACTGTTAGTAAAGCATCGGCGTATTCAGCTGCTGAAGGTCTCGTTAAACGTGTTGAAGAGAAGATATCGGCTGTTTGCTTGCAAACTTCACTTTTAGCTCCATCCGTGACTTCTCTGTGTCGGTAACAAACCTTTATTACCATTTGCGGTGCTGTTTAAGGACAAATCATTTCTCCACACTCCACCGATTTGAGAAGATGGAGAGTAAAATGAAAACGGGAGCTGAAATTACGTTTTATAACGCCCCCCCCCCCCCCCCCTTGTAACGTTGCATCACGCTGACAAATGAGCCTGAATAATTGTGATTTCTACAAAAAACTAAACGGCGAGCGAGGACCAATATTGGTTCTTTTTCACACTTCACTAACTTCATGTTGATGTGTTACGCCTACTGGCCGTTTTATTAGGTACACGTGTTCATTTGGTTGTTCACACACACACGAGATCTGCCGGTTGGAGGACAGCGACTCGACTGGAGAGGAAAGAGGATTTAAGTGAGTTTGAGTGCAGCCTGGCGTGTGATGGCTGGTCTGAGTATTTTAGAAACTGCTGATCTAGTGGGATTTTCACCCACAACCATCTCTAGAACTTACAGAGGATGAAATGAAAAGAAAATATCCAGTGAGCAGCAGGTCAGAGGAGAATGGTCCGACTGGTTCCAGCTGATGTCTGCAGAACCACACCAGCTGCAACAGTCAGGTGATCGGCTCAGAATTTGGTGTCACCAACATGAAAGCATGGATCCATCCTGGCTTGGATCACCAAAAAGTAAAAAAAATCAATTTCCCGTCCTTTTTCCTTCTCTTTCTTTTTTCTTTTTCTTTCTTCCCTCCTTTTCTACCTCCCTTTACCTGTTAGTATGCAAAACAAGGCAAACTCTCCCAACCACAATACCGTAACCAAACTCAAACACCCTCCAGCTAGCAAATAACAACATTTACTAGAGGGTGAAGCATGCAAATAAACAGAGTTCTCAAAAGAACAAAAGGCTGTAATAGACTGTATGTCAGCCGGTAGATTATTCTAGTCAAATGGGATTTTACACTGAAAGACAATCTTCCCACTTCTTTTTTAAAAATCAGTACAACAAAGTTGTTTATTAACTCTAGTCTTATATTGACATCTAGAATGCACCAGATATTTTTAGATACGCTGGAAAGTCAAAGAAAAAACATAAAAATTTAAATGTACCAATAAAATCCAAATCTGGCTTTCAGTTCAGGCTTTCATACATGCTGCGATGATGAGTTGTAGACGGGCAACACAAAATGACAAATGCTGCACACGAGACACATGAGCGTCCATGTTTCCCCTCTCAGGATGCCGGCTGGTTGTGTGAGAAAGAGTGTTACCTGGACATGCTGTCGTCACCACAACACTCATCCCAGGAGCTGATCGCCCTCTGGGACAGGAAGAGGACCTGTGGAGACCCCTGTGGTTGTCCCTAAACAGGGTTCACGGGACCCTCACCATGTTGCACTGTGGGTAAAACACACCTAGCGCTGGTTCTCAGATCGACCAAATGAACCGTCCGATATGATTAAAAAAACACTCGAAATCTTCTCTTAATTTCATGAACTTTGCAGATTCTTAGTATTAATAAAATCCAACGGTTGCTGATTTAGTTGTAAACCCACGTTATGCTCTCGGAAAATTTTCTTAGTCAATAAAAACAGCAAAACGTTTGAAATGTAATGAGAATATTTTCGTCATCTAACTGTGAGACTAAAGAAATCATGTACAGAATCACTGCTGTAAGGTAGAATATGATTATTGATGTATATTATATTGATTACCCATAACTACAGTAGCACACGTTTGTCCTCAGATTTATAAAAAAATATTTTTTTATTTAGTTGTTTTTGAAATCCTCGTCAGTTCTTCTTACCTGTAGATTTCCAACGGTCATGCCCACAAGCTGCTGCTGTTACTGTGCACATAGTGAGTGATGTGGCCTTTTGCATATGTGATTTCATTTTGTGTGTGTGTGTGTCTTTTGGAGTGACTGAAACACACTTAGCAGATTTTCTGAAGCCCTTAAAGGTAATAAAAAACACTGAAGGGAGATTTTTGTATGTGTTGTATATTTTGGGGACGTGCCGATGCGTTTTTTCTAACGGATTTTAGTTTAAGGAGGAGGTTTTTCAGCTGGTCTTCACATCAACAACAGGAAGTGGTTTTATGGCTGGAAGCTGCCATCTTTTATTCCCTCGGGGGGTTTGCACTCGTTTTGCATTTGGTTAAAGGTCAGAATCACTAATTATAGCTTGAGGCGATACCTGGACCCTGCAGAGGTGGTCTAACTCCTCCAGGGGGACATATCAACACAGTCTTAAGATCAAGGAGGAGGTTCCAGGAGACGAGACAGGGCTGAAGAAGGACCGTACCTGCCAGGACCCTGGCTTCGTTAAGGTCAGTGTCCTCTTGTGGGCCCTGTCCTCTGTCCAGCATAATCATGCAGCTTGATTAGCATTGGTTTGAACACCAGAATGGGCAGATTCACCACTGGTGTGGAGAAGTCGTATGCTGTCTGCTCGGAGGTGGGATGAACTTCTTGAATGTGCTGGATACTGGTTTCCTCCTGGTGCTCAACTATCCCTAGCCTTATGGCCGTCTGGAGGATGATGTTCCTGGAGCAAGGAAGGTCTGCTCGGCTCATTCCATGAGCTCCATAATGCTCTGGTCCAGATCTTAAGAGGAGGTACCCCAGGTCACCATCTCATTAGGAGAATGCAGAAGGGAGTTAATATTAGTGAAATACATCCCAAATTAGATTAGATTACCTGTATGTAAATTGTTAAGAGAAGATGAGGCAGAGCATCAGACTGCTGGGAGATAATACGAATCGTTAATTCTTCCAATTCTTTATCAAACATTACTCTTTTTTTTCTGCCCCTCTTCCTTTCTTCCAGTCCAGCACATAATAACCGTCACATCCACATCTGTTCCACTCGCTCTGTTAGATAAGCACAGCACTTTTCAGTCCATCAGCTCCCCTCTGCTGCTCGAAGCCCCTCGTTGTGAACCGGGAGGAGTGTGGAAACGGCACAGAGATGAAAAATAATCTCACTCCTGCTCCCTTTCTGCAACAGTGCCTCTGTAGATTGTGAAGTTATTGATTTTTAGTTTAAATTTGATGAGTGATGTGGAAATATTATCACACGCCAACATATTCCAAATCCTCTTAAATCCTTTACTCTGGGCCTGTGCTCCCATACGTGCTGATCTAATAACCAGCTAATCGAATCGCCTGATTCCACCTCTGCAATAACACCCTGAACCAAACTGGAAAATGTTTACCTGCAAACTTCTGTAAATGTGTTATTTAATTCCCCTCAAGCTTATTTGTGGTTATTTAACAGCTGAGTTGGTGGTAAAATACCACTCTTCAAGTATTCCTTTAATCTCCAACAGATCGATACTCCCTGAGCCGTGTGCCTAGAGTTTACTGAAGCACAGCTGCAGAGGTGGTGTTGCTGTGAAACTGGGTGTGAGGAAAAGATGTCATCGAACTGACCCAGAATCAGATTTGTCTACGTGTTTGATAATTATAGAATCTACTCGGTTTGAATAGCCAATGCCCCCGTGTGTGTGTGTGTGTGTGTGCTTAACATGTGAGAGGCTCTTTTAGAATATTGAGAACAGGGGAGCTGGAGGTAATTGTACTTATAAGATCCTTCTCATCTTCAAGCCCACCTGAAACTAATCTCCTTGTGGAGCAGAAACGAATAAAAGGATTTGTTGATGTTACGCTTCTGAGTTTTATTTCATTGATATTTTTTTACCTAAGGTATCCACATGGCCCCATCGGATGGGTGCAGGTTCAACAACGCTGTGTATAGCATAAAGGAATCACAGATGTCATAAAGGTAACCCGGCTGTCTTCGTGTATTATTGAAAAAAATGATTGTGTAGGGATTAACAAAGGTAAGTAATTAATAATTTTAGCTAAGACCAAAGCTCAGTTCTTTTAAATAAGAACACAATCAGTGATGCACGCACCCCAAATAAAAGTAAAACGGGTGTTTCCTGCTCCGCCGTGCTACTGGTTGAAAGTGGAATTACAACTGTCGTAAATAATCCTGCTGTAGCTAGTGCTAACAACAAGCTAACACTATTCTGAGCTAATGCCAAAATAAACCACAAAGTAAAAAGATCCACACTGTTGGAACAAATAATATCACTTACAAGTCCAGTAACAACGAAGCCAGGTCATCATCAGTCCATGGTTCTGTAGCTACCTTTAGCTCACGTTGGTTTTAGCTCTTTTCTTGGCCTCCAAATACATTAATCTCTTACTTTTTACCTCCAGGCTCGGCCAATATGTCAACAGAAAAATTCAACTTTTTTTTGTGGTGAACTGAAAAAGCTAACTGCTAGCATAGCAGCTATCAGCCGTAATGCAGGTAACGCTCCCCCTATAGAGCACCTACCCACTCCACAAAACTTTAAAGTGCCATATCTAGCCAGTAGAAGGCTGCAGGGTGGTGTAAAATATGAAACTGGTCAAGTTTCTAACTCAACAACCACCGAGATCAACGTTAAAGCTCCTAGCTCAAAGTTAAAAAAAAAAACATCTCTGGTGTTGGATTGTTCATAATGTTTGCATGCCATACATATTGTCCTGCGTGTTTGCCGTAGTTGCTACCGGAAGTGGGAGTGGTTAGGTTGTTCCGACGAGCGGCAAATAAAGTAAAATGGTGGTTCATGAAGCGGTCTAAGAAGAATTATTTATAAGTTTGAGAACAGAACATTACATCTGGTGTTGGGAATTGGTCCGTTTTCAGCCAATCACTGATTGGTGAGTCAGAAACTCAAAATTTAGGCTTTTGTCCACGCAGCAATAACAATCTAAATTTTCCCCATTTGTTGAAGGTCCATGTTTCTGTAACATGTTAAAATTTTGAAATGTTCCTGCAGTTGCAAGAAGGTTGCTGATTCTACACCCAGCTATGGCATTTGCATGTTCTCATGTGTTCTAATGTGTAGGTTTCCTTTCAGGCTTAAGCATTCTTGTTGGGTTAATTGGTTATGCTAAATTGTCCGCAGTCGTGAGTAATTGAATGGTTTATGCCTTTTTTTACTCTATATATGTCTCTGTGATAGACTGATGACCTGTCTAGGGTGTTCCCCACCTCTCACCCGATGACTGCTGGAGATAGGCACTGGCTTCACGCGGTGGTTACAGAAGATGATATTAAGGAATATCTGCACTTCAGATTGGGCCAGACAGTAAGTAAAACACAAAAGCAGTGTAAAACATCTAGAAACTTTCGAAATAAAAGTCACATGCAGATTTCCAGTTGCATAACTAGTAGGGATACTCAACATTGGCTTTTTTTTATTTTTACCAATATATTGATATTGTTTGACTCTTAATATCTGATATCAATATAAACCAATACTGATATATGCTGCAACCCTATTGCATCTGAAACGCTCCTGGAAGGAGAGGAACTTGCAGGTAAAACATCTATTACATTACGCGCCTCTTACAACCGGGGGCCCCTTTTGACCATCTGAACTTCTGGGTAATTGTCCCAGACCTTCATGTTGTGCACGAGTCACCATTTTTCCTGGTTAGCCTGAGAAGAGGAACCAAATGAATGCCTGATTTAAACATCTTTGCTGTGTTCTTGCTGTGTTGAAATTCTAATTCCATCTTTCAGTTTTTTTTTAAAACACAGAAAAGGTTTATTTACTTGCAACGTTTCGTTTGCGGCTGCAAACTTCGTCAGGCTGACGCCGATGGTGGTGCCACTTCCTTCTCCGTTTATCCGCGGGCAGCAGAGGACGTTGTCGCCCTCTGCTGTCTGCTTTCCCCTCTCCGATGATGCAGTCCCATGCGCGATCCAACGAGTAAACTCCATCGTCCCTGTTCATGGTCCCACATCCATGTCTCCTTATCTCGATTGCTTCTTTTATCCATCTTTTGTATTTCTGTTGTTCGGTGTTTATGATCCTTGTGTTGTCCCAGTCCATTACATGGTTTTCTCTTAAGCAGTGATCTGTTACGGCTGACTTTTTTTTATTGTACTTTCTGCTTCTTGTTTTGCTGCTCTTGTGTGTTTTCGACTTGCCTCTTTCTCGCACTCCTTTCTATGTTCTATTGTTCGTGTGTTGAGTTGGCGTCCGGTTTCTCCTACGTATGTTTTATTGCAGAGTTTGCATGGGATTTCATAAACGACTCCACATTTAAGTCCAGCTGATATTTAGTCTTTTTTTTTTCAAAAAGTATATTTTATTGCATTTTCAGTTTACTGTACACCTTTCACACATTATTATGTTGTATACTGAAAGTACATTCTGTATAAAATCTTAATGGAACAACAGAACAACAGAACATTTTAACAATTTTGGTTGTGCTTCTGGCGATCCTTTCCAACGTTAGTGCATTTATAGTATTGAAGGCAATATTCACATAGACATGTTTAATAAAACTTTGAGTAAGAAGTCCCCGAATTACACCTTACTTTTGCTTCTCCCATTACAATCTAAATGCTGGTCAGAAGACCGATTATTTTCCTACTCTCCCACTTTATAAGTCCTTAGCTTTTTATGTCCATCCTCTTAATATATGTTAGAAAAGGTGTCCATATTTCGTCAAATAAATGTTGCTTGGCCTTTAAGATATAGGTAATCCGTTCCAGCGGCATCACCTGTAACATCTGTTTCATCCAATCCTTCACAGTGGGTCTATGGAGCGATTTCCATGCCATAGCTATACACTTTTTTGCTACCATTAAACTAAGATCCAAAAAGACACGCTGACACTTGCTATAAGCATACTCATTAGGGCAAAGTCCTATTAGAAACAATTTAGCATCCAATGGTACCTCCTTTTTGATAATTTTTTCAGTAGAAATTCTTACATCCTCCCAGAACTTTATGATTTCTGTACACTCCCAAACACAATGATACAACGTCCCTTTATGAACAGCACATTTAACACATGTATCTGGTATATTGCTATTGTATTTCTTCAGTCTCTCTGGGGTGACATATGTCCGCATTAAATATTTATGCTGAATTAATCTTAACCTGGCATTAATGAACTTGGTATGA